GCAAACATCATATGTACCTCAGCATAGTTGGGATCGAATTTGATGGCACTATTGAAGGCTTCATAAGCTTCAAAGTAGTTGCGCAGCTCGTTGTGACACACACCACACAGGAAGTGAGCTTCCGCCGTCTCTGCTGGCCATGGGTCTCGTGGCCGCCACGGTTTCTGAAAAATATCATGAACATGTTGTCATCAATTGTACACCAGTCTTGTATTTAATTTTTGCGAGTCACTTACGAGACAAGTGTTCAGATTGACTGTGGCTTGGAAAAGGCAAGTTAAGCCAATGGTCGATAGTGCGAGCAGTGAGCATAATATCACACCAAATCAGACAGGTCATAGTCCAGAATGACTCTGAATCTATCAAATATACCATGTACTATAAGTCACTCTAGTGAAGGAAAACATAGGATGTCAGCTGGTCTGCTAGAATTTGAACTTTTCCTAAAGCAGGGCCCTGTTCCACAAAGCGATCTTAGCACTTTGACTGTCTATGCTAAAGTAAGGGATTAATAATTATATAATAAACTAAACTATAATTAGTGAGGTTTTAAAAACAAGGATTTTTAACAAAAATTAACATCCAGGACAGTGACATGAACATTGTTAGTTTTCTTAAAAACTAATGCTCTAGTTGATATTGCTGAGAAGCAAAACGCTTTCATCCAAAAATATGGGGTCATTGCAGTTACATGATCCAAGACTGTATTTATAAATTCCATTAACTGTTCATTCTGAGTATTCAGCCCAAGGACATTTCACTTGGAACGACAGACAGACAGACAGACATAGACAGACACACAGACAAAGTCAGACACACAGACAAAGTCAGACACACAGACAAAGTCAGACAGAGACAAACTGACAGAAAGACAGAAAGACAGAGAGAAAGAGAGAAAGATAGTGAGCGAGAGAAGCCAGGTCTTCGATGTGAACACTCCAACCACGAAGCTATACCACTGACCCTACTCACAAACTGTAAAGATTGTGGGTTCTGATCATAAACCCAATTTCATAAACTGAATTTCTTTGGGATCCTTAGATTCAAATATCATAATAGAAACCTCAAGGGTCCCTTGTACCTGCTTCATTTCAAACACTGGGTTTGGTGCTGACACATCAAGATCATAATCAGAGTAAAGAGGGGATTTGAAACAATGACCAGCAGATCCTGGGATGACTAAGGGACATAACTCTACACAGTGTGGTGTGACACCTTTAAACCACTAGTCAGTACCCCTGGCCCTACTCACAAACTGCATCAGGGCCATCTCGAAGCTGTTAATAGCATCCTTGAAGTGCTTCGCCTTCATCTGCGTCTTGCCCAGCAGCATGTACAGAGTGCCGCCAGTCTTTACACGGGTCGCGTTCTTCAGGGCATCGATAGCCTGCATGTTCATGAATCAAGAGAAATATGAATCATTTCAATAAATTCTTAATCATTGTAGTTCTGTAACAATGATAAATGGTTCAATTTATAAATTCAGTATTTGCCTTAGCAATATTTGACCTCTTGTCTGTTATATATAAAGGGGTCACAGGTGACTGAAGAATCAAAAGAATCACAGGATTATGTGTGCAACAGGTGGCACTATGTGTTATTAATGTCTACCTGTGCTGTTTATATCAAAAGATGATATCATGACAACATTGTGTAAATTATGAATCACAATAAAAAAAACTTGTGTCCCCAGTGGTGCAATGTTCTTGCATATTTCCAAATGTTCTTGCATATTTCCAAATGTTCTTGCATATTTCCAACTGTTCTTGCATATTTCAAAATGTTCTTGCAAAATTTCAAATGTTCTTGCATATTTTAAAATGTTCTTGCATATTTTAAAATGTTCTTGCATATGTTCAAATGATCTTGTATATTTTCAACACACACTATGTAGGTTTTCAGCATCAGGGCAAATCCTTTAATACATTTTCTTATCACTACAAAGAAAGTTATGTGTAACATAGATTTGCTGATGACTTACCAAGTCACTTATCAACGCTTTTCTTATTTTTCTAAGTTTATTTGTGAATGTCTACTAACAGATTCCTAGTTTCAAGCAAGAGTATAAGAGTGAATGTTTTTTAAACTGCAGTTAGCAATATTTCAACCTCAACCAGTGGTTGATAGTATGAGCAACAGACCATGGGTACCACGTCCCACAATCAGCACGGACATCATAAACCACTAGATGCTCATCTTAGGAAGCCCCTACAATGTGGTAGTAGAATCTGTCTGCCCAAGAAACCACACAACTAGCTAGACAAAAGTGAACTCTCTAAGATATTTGGAAGTGTTCTGTAGTTGAGCATCACCTTGTCATAGTTCTTGAGGAAGGACTGTACGATGGCCTGCTGGGTGGGTCTTTGTCCTAGAGAGCTGGTGGAGTCGTTGCTCAGCTCAGAGGCATGTCTGTAATATACAGCTTACAGTTTTAGTTCTTTACAGATAATTAGCAAGAAGAATAATGTATCTCACAATTGTCTTAAAAAAATGTTCTAAATCAAGCATGAAGGTCCTTATCATAAACCTAATGTTATCAACTGAATTTCTTTGGGAGCCCTAGAATCAAATATCAGGGCCCCTGAAACCTGCTTAATTTCAAACACTGGGTATGGTGCTGACACATCAAGATCATAATCAGACGGGATCTAAAACAATGACCAGCAGATTCTGGCCCGGCTAAGGGACATAACTCTGCACAGTGTGGTGTGACACCATAGACCGCTGGTCCAACAGGGCCCTGGCATAGACTTTATCACATTCTGTAGCTCATGTGGTAATACAATCATGTATACAGAGGTATTCGCTATCCATAGGAAGCGCCCTCCTCAAGAGTGGAATGGATATATACGAAGGCGATGAGCTCATGAACCAAGGCATCCTCCCCTCTCATCTAAATCAAATCGTCCAACATTGGCATGTTGCAAGCGTGGGATCGTTACATAGAACAACAACCCACCCAAACAATGACCATAACATATCCTCGTGGTACAAGGTCAGAGACCCGTGAAGATTCCGGGGTAGAATAGGTCTTCAGCAACCCATGCTTGCCGTAAAAGGCGACTATGCTTGTCGTAAAAGGCGACAAACGGGATCGGCTAGTCAGGCTCGCTGACTTGGTTGATTCATGTCATCGATCCCAATAGCGTGGATCAATGCTCATGATATTAATCACTGGATTGTCTGTTCCAGACTTGATTATTTACAGACCATCGTCATATAGCTGGAATATTGCTGAGTGCGGCGTTAAACAACAAACCAACAACCAACAACAAGGTCAGAGTAATGTCCCACCTGACACAGAACGCTGCCAGCTCCATGTTGCCCATCTCTAGAACCAGCTGACCCTGAAATTGAAAATCATTTTTTGGAATTAACAAAACAGACTTCCAGCCTCAAGGTCATAAGTCGTTTCATATAACGTGCATCATCAGATTCCCCCAATGCAAATCTTGTCTTACATCTGCACTTCAAGAGATACATATTTTGAAATCGATTTCTGCTGCATACTTGCCTTGCCATGACAGATTAACTATAGTAATATGAAAAAAATGGGTGGTCCTTAAGTTTTTTTCAGTACAAGAGTTTTATCTACTGAGGTACATTCTTGGAGTAGCTATGCCAACAATCATTGTGACTAGTTTTAAGGTTTGTCTGTTCACAGAGTACTGTACATTTCTCTTGAAAGATCACAGATCTACCCACCCGGTACATGTAGTAATGGTGGACGTCTGGTCTCAGATGAATGGCTCGTGTGAAATCCCTCAAGGCCAACCTCAGCTGTCAATATATGAAAATATACATTCTGAGAATTAAAAAATACAAACAAAGAAACAAGATTGTTTGGTGTCTTACATTGCTATCAGCAGTATACGAACAATATCAAATTGGCTTGTGAATAAGATTCTAGACGAGACAGACCAGTGGTTGATATTATGACAACTTATGGCAACTTTTACAACCATCTGGCTATGATGTTATGCAATAACTTCTGACAGCTCAGTTCAATCCTCAAGTTGTTTGTTTTTTTGCTTAACGCTGCACCGAGCAATATTCCAGCTATATGACGGCATGCAGTTTGTAAATAATTTAGTCTGGACTAGACAATCCAGGGAATGATATCATGAGCATCAATCTATGCAATTGGCTTACAATGACATGCATCAACGAAGTCAGTGAGCCTGACTACCCGATTCAATTAGTGGCCTTTTACGGCAAGCATGGGTTGCTGAAGACCTATTCTACACCGGATCATCAAAAGATATATTGATCTGAATGAACGTCTTAATGAATGCATGTCACACAATCTGAAAACCAAATAATTAGAGCTCATCAAGTCTCATCTATATGTAGTGGGCTAGCTTAATGGTCAAACTGTCACTCAGTATGTCTTATTACGTCCAATCTCATTAAAATCAGATCTTAGTTCTCACTACCGCTAAACAAAGATCTGAGGACATCCCATAACGGGTAATGTCAGACCAACCTTGCGCGAACTTTGATCGACCAATGGAATGACTGACAAGAAGTCGACATAAGCAAATCAGAAGGCAGCTTACTCGTGCTTTACGGCACTAATTTAAAATTGGTGACTCCGCTTCGAAACATATTTTGACAAATTCTGGAGTAAAAATTTGAAACCTGAACAACAGAACATTCTGGAATGGCTAATAGATGGCCTAGATTGTATGAATTCAGTCGTTAACCCCGTAACTATCGTTCGGAATACCCCGTGTAAAAAGTTTTTGAGGCTGCATGATTAGAAATCACATTCCGACTGTCACTTTCATGATCTGGTAAGCAACGCTCTGATTGGTGGGATGAAAGGTCGTTCTGACGTGACTCCTACTGGGATGTCCTCAGATCTTAATAAGATTGCATTACCTCATGTATCTTGTGGTGGGCCTCTCCTCGGCATACATATGCTCGCACATATGTTGGCTCAACCTTGATGGCCGAGGTGAACTTTTTTATTGCCCTGAGAAAAAAGGGTAAAAATTATTAGCACATAATAACAATATTAACAACAACAATAAGAATGTGAACGTATATTGCGCTAGCCTCCATACACTCAATGCATGCTCAAACCCCCCTTTACCCTTTTGGAAAACAAATGTGGTATGTTGTAGGCAGGGAAATTATCTGAGAGAGGCTTTTGATCTGTTGGACCCCTCCCCTTAAACAATGCTGGATCCACCCTTGTCTCAGTCACCTGTCATCACAGCACGGCACGGCACGGCACGGCACACCTACCTGTGGTAATTCTCGTACTTCTTCATGAAGATCAGTCCCAGATTGACGTGGGCACAGGCTACATCCTTGTTTAGCTTCAGCACACTCTCAAAGTCCGGGATAGCATCCTCGGCTCTGTGGATAACAACAGAGGACATGGTGTTGTTAATTTTTACTTTGAGACTAATTTCAAGTTCACTGTATTCACTAGGCTAACTTAATTCAAAATGCACAATAACGACCAGAGAAATACAAAAACATTTCAAACTAAAAGAACAGACACATGTGAGCATAATATATCACATTTAATGATGTCAGTGATATGTGCAACAACTCACATCATCAGGGAGCATGTAGACATAAATATTAGATTGCATTTTTCAGTAATAGGTTGCACTTGTTCATGTTTAGCTAAAATGAGCCAGGAATGGATGAAGTGGTTAGACTCAGCCACTTGGTTGAATGAGTGTCAACATAATCTGACAGCACTGGACTCAGCACATTATATCAATGACTTGAGTATTTATAGTCCACCATGGCAAACCTCGATCGTCTGAGACATAAAACAACAAATAAACAAATAACAAGATTGATTGAGTATGGTTTTACGCCGCTTTTAGCAATATTCCAGCAATATCACGGCGGGGGACACCAGAAATGGGCTTCACACATTGTACCCATGTCGGGAATCGAACCCGGGTCTTCGGCGTGACGAGCTAACGCTTTAACCACTAGGCTACCCGACCGTCCCCCAAATAACAAGGAAAGAAAGACAACTAATATGAAAAAATAGAGTAAACTCTCCTAAGTATATGACACCAAAAGTCACAAGTAAGAAAGAAATTAAGGTAGATTTTACCTCTCCTAACACTCCAAAACTCGTAGATGACAAGAATATAGCAGGGTTACGAGCAAAGATTTCATGTCCCCAATCAGAGAAGCTAAGAGAGTGACAAGACATTTGCGAAATCACTCAATCGAAACTGTCGTAAATATCATATTAGGGGTTAGGGGACCTTATGATTATGAAAGTTTCATTAATGGGAGGCAGGACAAAGGTAAGCTGCTGGAGATGGTGACTTACTTGCCCATGGCGCTGTAGAGGATGCCTCGGTGGAGGTAGGACATGATGTTCTCCTCCGTGTCGTTGATGAGCAGCGACATGCTGTAGTCCTGCAGGGCACGCTTGGGGTGGGCTCTGGGGAAACACCATCACAACCACATTCATCACACATTCATTTACTGATCTTGGCTTGTGGCTACACTGACATTTAAATAAAGTTATCTTATTTAAAAACATACAAAATCGCTTGACATGTCTTAAATCAAGCAAAGCAGACATATATTTTCTACCTCTGAGGTTGTGTTTGTTGTACTTGAGGCACAAAAAACAAGAGGTGTCTTCTGTGGTCCCATTTCACAGAAAATTCTTACTTATGTAGCTACAAAGACCAGCAATCAAAGTCTAAAGACATGGAGCATGGCTCTTCTGCTGCTAAGAAGCCCAAGAACAAGCCGGCTGCCCCCTCCCCCCCTCTCCCCAACCCCCATGGCTGACATTTGACATCTGAATCTACTCATCCTTCATTTAGATTGGGCAGTCAAAATTTGCTCTGGATTTACCAAACACGACTTTCTATGGAGGTGTCCCTAGATGCAGTTCTAATCAAATGATTTGAAACAATGGCTATCATAATCTCCTGATTTTATTTTCATTTTTACCTTTAACAACTTTGAGTGAAACTGTCCCTTTAACTAATGCTATATGTGTACACCTACTTGCGGAGTATACACCCTCTGTGATAGAAGGCTTCCCACGTCTCGGGGTCGAGGTGGATGGCCGCTGACATGTCCTCCACAGCCGGGGTCCACAGCTTCTGACTGGCATACGCCTGACCTCGATACAGATGGGCGATGGCATTCAGCGGGTCAACACGGATCAGATCGGTGAAATCATTGATGGCATTGTTCCAGTTTCTGAAGATATAATCATGAAAATTATCATATTCCAGTTTCTTACAGATGTTCCTAATTCAACTATGTATAGTCAGAAATTACACAACTTATCTTTTCAGACATCATTCGGTACAGGTGCTATTAGTGAGTGAGTGAGTGAGTTGGGTTTAACGCCGCTTTTAACATTATTCCAGTTATATCATGGCGTGTCAGCTTCATGTGGGAGGAAAGCCCGAAGTGATACAGGTCGAAGGCGTTTACCACTTCGGTGAAACTCACGAGCACGGGTATGGTGCTGACAAACCTAGAAACATAATTTGGGCGAACCGGAATTCGAACCCACAATCATAGGTTTCTGGCGTGCACAAGGGACGCAACTCTGCACAGCGAATTGCTGCGCCCTAGACGACTGGGCCACCCGTGCCCCCACAGGTGCTATTACCTAGCAAGTAAGTGATTTGCTTGATAAAAGTAGCATGGTACACTAAATTATCGCTGTAGTTAATTGACAATGGATCGAAATGGCAAACACTTACTAACATATTAAATATGTCACATACAAAGTGTTTCTTGTTTTTTGTTCAACTTTCATGACACATCAATTAGGATTGATTGAAACAGATTTTCTTTACAAAGTTCGGTAAAGAAAGTACCTGTCAATAGCGACTCAAGGGAAGGCAACTCTATATTATCACGGTATTGCTATTTTGTAGTATGATACGTGTTGAATATGTGTTTACATCACATCCTGTTTTGGATTATGCATAATCAGTATGCATACGACCTAGGGTGGGTCAAGGGACATCGTCCAAACAAATGTGTTCTTTTTTAACCAAAAAGTTAACATGTTTATTTAGGAGTAGCCGCGACATACCGCAACGAGTCCTGTATTCAATCATGTGATGAAATATTGTGCTTAGAATTGCATAAGTAAACAGTCACTGGGGATGTGGATTACGAGATTGACCTATACCGCAGTAATATAGAGCCAGTTAAAATATAGTCTATACTAGCATCTGTACTGAAATGTCACGTTGACAGAATAAAGAATTGAAAATCCACATGTAAACTGGGTCTTCATTGATACTACAGCTGCTTAAATACTACTTAAGAGATTAAAAAGATATAAATATATTTTTTTTAATATCCTAAAGAAAATCATTAGAATCTGAGAATACCTGATGCCAGGTACAGTACTATTCGATTTGATTTGACGGTGTTATTTAGTACAGCTGACCTGTTCTTGAAGTAGTACATCCCATGTTTCATGATGGCATCCGTGCGTGTCGGCAACAGTTTGGTACACTTCCCATAATCCTCCAGGGCCAACAGCATCTCACCACGCTAATAAAAGTCAGCAGCAAATAGTACGGAACCAAATCACACACATGCCTCACTCTACTCGAACATAGTCCATTTTATGGACCGTCTCTGTGGTCTAGTGGAAGAGCGTCCCCGACCGCATCATACCAAAGCATGTTAAAAGATGGTACTTGTTGTTACCCTGTCTGGCGCTCGGCATTAAGGGGCTAAAACAAGGACTGGTCGGCTCGGAGTCAGTATACTGTGTCTAAGTGGGGTATTTATGTTAAACTGCAGCATGGTATCTCAGTGAGCTAGCACTATAAATCGACATAAGTCCGGACTAGTACAAGCAGCCCCACACCCACACCCACACCCACACCCACACCCACACACACACACACACACACACACACACGCATGCACGTTGCTATATAAGTGCAATAATCCTGGACACGACGTTAAACCCAATTTCATCTGTCCTCACCATTTTATCTTCATTCCGTGAAAAATACCTGGGAACAATTCACTTTTGATCCTGATTCAAATGACATGGTGACTTAAAATGGTCAAATCAATCTAGAGTCATGAATGAGAGAAATTCTGCGCTAACTTAGTGATGGAGATTGTGACGTCACTTCCCAAATGAAGCTGCAGTGATGAATGGAGTCTTGCGTATTTATCATGATAGAGTTGGGTCATAACAGACTGGAGAGTGAGTGAGTGAGTTGGGTTTAACGCCGCTTTTAACATTATTCCAGTTATATCACAGCGTGTCAGCTTAATGTGGGAGGAAAGCCCGAAGTGATGCAGGTCTCAGATGTTTACCACTTCGGTGAAACCCACGAGCACGGGTATGGTGCTGACAAACCTAGAAACATAACTGGGATTCGAACCCACAATCATAGGTTTCTGGCGTGCCCAAGGGATGCAACTCTGCACAGCGAATCGCGGCACCTTAGACGACTGGGCCACCGGTGCCCCCAACAGACTGGAGAAGTGAGGATGACTCTAACAGAGTCTATCCATACACAGAACTTTGTTCTTCTTGAATATTGTAACAAAAACAAAAAAGAAAAAAGAAATAATTCTGTTTCCTTCAAATTGTGGGCACATATTTTGTATTTCTAGGTATAAGGAAAATTGTGACAAATAGCACAATATTAAAACAATGACATTTATAATCAAAGTGCCTCCAAATACAGAAAAAGTGCAAAGGCACTAAGGCTCACCTGGAGACAAATATTCAACAGTTTAAGATGCAACCAACAGCCACTTAAACTTCATATGCAGAATTTTACAATTTATATTTGATTCACATCCAAAAAGATTTCGAGACTGTCTCAAACAACGAACCTGTTCATACATCTCCGCTCGGCGGAAGAACGCCTCATGGTCCTGGGGATTCAGCTTCAGAGCTTGTGTGTAGTTCACAATTGCCATGGTTATATCATCTTGCCGCCGATAGATTTCAGCCCTGAAAGAGAACAATTATGTCAATCACTGTTGGATGTGCAGCCACAGGGCCATGACATCTTTGTGTTCTCAGAATAGAATGTGTAAATAGAATATGTGTCTTTATAACGCATAGGGTTAGAAATTACCAAGTTCATAAAATTTGTATGTGCACTAGACCAATTATCACTTTTTACACACCAGTGTATTGTTTCCGTCATCCGGACTACATTTTTGACATCATGCTAATCTTATTGTGACGTAAGGTTGGAATGATGTCACACTAGAAACGACATCAAAGCTGAAGATTGTTGACGTCATTTGACAAATTATGGTTTTCAAGGACAGCGGTGGTGATCACTGCACTTTTCTAAAGGGGAGCTCAAAAGGAGTAAGAAATAATGGGCAATAAAGAAATTATTACACTTGCATGTGTGTCATACTGATTTTACCAAACTCGCTCTTGCTTGGTAAATACAAGAATTCTGTCACTCGTTTCATAAAATAAGAACGACACATGCCAGAGCTCCAGATAAGCTTTTGGTGTTGTGGGTATTTTACCCATGCATTTTAAAATCATTGGGTATCAGTAATTCTATCTGCGTACGCAAATTTCTTTTACCCACTAGTTTTTACACATGTGGGTATTTAAGTTAAATATTTAAAAACTCTCTTCATCTAGTCCCTCCAAACTGGTGTCGTGTGGGTTCGAGAGCTTTATAGGACTCAAAAATACCACGATACTTCCACAAGAAAGTGTGATGGCAAATGATCATGATGTAACTGTCATCATGGAGTTGGCAAGGTTGACGGAATGCCCGTTTATAATTTCAAAATAAGTTGCTGATTTGCTAATCGAATACGCAGGGTTACTTCACAATATATTAATGATACGCACAAGTTTTATTTTTGTAGCGTATCTGTAATGTTCGTTGCGTAATTGATACGCTTGGATTATATTTTACTGTGTATTTCTGCATTTCTGATGCGTATTTTACGCAGATACGCAGCTTATCTGGAGCTCTGCATGCTCGTATAAAATCTCTATGTCTTTACAGTACCCTAACAATCCTAGATAGTTTTCAACATCACTCATATTGTGGAAGAATAAAGCTCAAATCCATGGGATCAAATTCTTCAAAATCTTACATAAATATTGCTATAAAAAATGCTGTATACAAATTGAAAGACACCACTCATTCAAAGGTATAAGATTGTAGTTCTTCTTCACAAAGCAATCAACATGAAACATGTGCAGAACATCACTATAGATATTACTTGCTACCAACTCGTGAAGATCCAGGGTAGAATAGGTTTTCAACAACCCATGATTGCCGTAAAAGGTGACTATGCTTGTCGTAAAAGGCGACTAACGTAATCGGGTGGTCAGACTCGTTGACTTGGTTGATGCATGTCATCGATCCCAATTGTGTGGATCGATGCTCATGATATTAATTACTGGATTGTCTGGTCCAGACTTGATTATTTACAGACCGCTGTCAAATAGCTGGAATATTGCTGAGTGCGGCATTAAACAAACCAACCAATCAATTGCAACTTATAACCATGGCATATATTGGTACAAGAGAGATCATATGTGTCTATAGTATGCAAATAATTTCTTTTGAAGAGGTCCATATGTGAAAACAAGGACCCGAGGACCTGACCCCTGAAGTGGTCTGACCGCCAAAGGGGTTGGATCCAAGGGTCTTTGTTTTCTCACATTTGCCTCGTCACCAAAATTCACTTTAAAGTTTATGAAGCCTTTAAACCGTCCTGTTTCATTACAGTAATTTAGCTGCGAACCGTGAAATGTTATACCAGACGCCATCTTGTTTTCTAGAAGACTAGACACTATTCAACCTGTGACAGGTCAATACTAATCATGTGACGAGTCAAGGTCAAGGTCAGTATCAGTCACATGATTTCGGGGTCTACATTGAAATGTATTGTTTTGTCACGTGGCATGAATTAACCAATAGAAATGCAAGATTCTTAATAAAGGAATAACAATTGCCGTTGTTTCCTGGTTGTCGCAGCAGATATTTTGGCTCCAGAATTGTTTCTATGTCAGAGGGGTTACTTGCAGGAAATTGACCATCCCCAACTTTTGGTAAATAAGTCACATAGTCCTTACCCACATCACTATGGTACTCGCTACTGCTGCTACACACAATACTCACATCGATCTGTATGCTCCAGCATGTCTCTTGTTTTTCTTCATGATGAAGTTGAGGTCATCCAGCGCCGCCTGTTTCTTGTCCTGAAGGATGTACAGCAGATGGCGGTGCCAGTAGGCATCTAGCAGCAAGGGCTCCAGCTGTATGGCTCTGTAACATAGGGACATGGGGCTCTGTAACATAGGGACATGGGGCTCTGTAACATAGGGACATGGGGCTCTGTAACATAGGGACATGGGGCTCTGTAACATAGGGACATGGGGCTCTGCAACATAGGGACATGGGGCTCTGCAACATAGGGACATGGGGCTCTGCAACATAGGGACATGGGGCTCTGTAACATAGGGACATGGGGCTCTGTAACATAGGGACATGGGGCTCTGTAACATAGGGACATGGGGCTCTGTAACATAGGGACATGGGGCTCTGCAACATAGGGACATGAGGCTCTGTAACATAGGGACATGAGGCTCTGCAACATAGGGACATGGGGCTCTGTTACATAGGCACATGAGGCTCTGTAACATAGGGACATGGGGCTCTGTAACATAGGGACATGGGGCTCAGCAGCATAGGGACATGAGGCTCTGTAACATACGGACATGAGGCTCTGTAACATACGGACATGAGGCTCTGTAACAGTGGGATAGAGGCTGTGTAACATAGGGACATGGGGCTCTGCAACATAGGGACATGGGGCTCTGTAACATAGGGACATGAGGCTCTGTAACATACGGACATGAGGCTTTGTAACAGTAGGAGAGACGCTGTGTAACATTGGGAGAGAGGCTGTGTAACATAGGGACATGAGGCTTTGTAACAGTGGGAGAGAGGCTGTGTAACATTGGGAGACAGGCTGTGTAACATAGGGACATGAGGCTTTGTAACAGTGGGATAGAGGCTCTGTAACATAGGGACATGAGGCTCAGTAACATAGGGACATGAGGCTCAGTAACATAGGGACATGAGGCTCAGTAACATAGGGACATGAGGCTTTGTAACATTGGGAAAGAGGCTGTGTAACATTGGGAGAGAGGATGTGTAACATTGGGAGAGAGGCTGTGAAACATAGGGATTTGAGGCTCTGTAACACTAAGAGAGAAGATTGTACCATATGGACATGAGGCTCTGTAACATAGGGACATGATGCTCAGTAACATAGGGACATGAGGCTTTGTAACATTGGGAGAGAGGCTGTGTAACATTGGGAGAGAGGCTGTGAAACATAGGGACATGAGGCTCTGTAACACTGGGAGAGAAGATTGTACCATATGGACATGAGGCTCTGTAACATTGGGACATGATGCTCAGTAACATTGGGAGAGAGGCTCTGTAACATTGGGGGAGAGGATGTGTAACATTGGGAGAGAGACTGTGTAACATTGGGAGAGAGGCTGTGTAACATAGGGAGAGAGGCTGTGTAACATTGGGAGAGAGGCTGTGTAACATAGGGACATGAGGCTCTATAACATTGGGAGAGAGGCTGTGTAACATAGGGACATGAGGCTCTGTAACACTGGGAGAGAGGATGTGTAACATAGGGACATGAAGCTCTGTAACACTGGGAGAGAGAATGTGTAACATAGGGACATGAGTCTCTGTAACAGTGGGAGAGAGGATGTGTAACATAGGGACATGAGGCTCTGTAACAGTGGGAGAGAGGATGTGTAACATAGGGACATGAGGCTTTGTAACAGTGGGATAGAGGATGTGTAACATAGGGACATGATGCTCTGTAACAGTGGGAGAGAGGATGTGTAACATACGGACATGAGTCTCTGTAACACTGGGAGAGAGGATGTGTAACATAGGGACATGAGGCTCTGTAACAGTGGGAGAGAGGATGTGTAACATAGGGACATGGGGCTTTGTAACACTGGGAGAGAGGATGTGTAACATAGGGACATGATGCTTTGTAACAGTGGGAGAGAGGATGTGTAACATAGGGACATGATGCTCTGTAACACTGGGAGAGGGGATGTGTAACATAGGGACATGAGACTCTGTAACACTTGGAGAGGGGATGTGTAACATAGGAACATGAGGCTCTGTAACAGTGGGAGAGAGGATGTGTAACAGTAGGAGAGAGGCTGTGTAACATATGGACATGAGGCTCTGTAACAGTGGGAGAGAGGATGTGTAACATAGAGACAGGAGGCTCTGTAACAGTGGGAGAGAGGCTGTGTGACATATGGACAGGAGGCTCTGTAACAGTGGGAGAGAGGCTGTGTAACATAGGGACATGAGGCTCTGTAACAGTGGGAGAGAGGATGTGTAACATAGGGACATGATGCTCTGTAACACTGGGAGAGAGGATGTGTAACATAGGGACATGAGACTCTGTAACACTTGGAGAGGGGATGTGTAACATAGGAACATGAGGCTCTGTAACAGTGGGAGAGAGGATGTGTTACAGTAGGAGAGAGGCTGTGTAACATATGGACATGAGGCTCTGTAACAGTGGGAGAGAGGCTGTGTAACATATGGACATGAGGCTCTGTAACAGTGGGAGAGAGGCTCTGAAACAGTGGGAGAGGCTGTGTGCCATATGGACAGGAGGCTCTGTAACAGTGGGAGAGAGACTGTGTAACATAGGGACATGAGGCTCTGTAACAGTGGGAGAGAGGATGTGTAACATAGGGACATGAGGCTCTGTAACAGTGGGAGAGAGGCTGTGTAACATAGGGACATGAGGCTCTGTAACAGTGGGAGAGAGGATGTGTAACATAGGGACATGAGGCTCTGTAACATTGGAAGAGAGGATCGTAACATAAGGACATGAGGCTCTGTAACATTGGGAGAGAGGATGTGTAACATAGGGACATGAGGCTTTGTAACAGTGGGATAGAGGCTGTGTAACATAGGGACATGAGGCTGTGTAACATAGGGACATGAGGCTTTGTAACAGTGGGAGAGAGGCTGTGTAACAGTGGGAGAGAGGCTGTGTAACAGTGGGAGAGAGGCTGTGTAACAGTGGGAGAGAGGATGTGTAACATAGGGACATGAGGCTCTGTAACATTGGGAGAGAGGATGTGTAACATAGGGACATGAGTCTCTGTAACACTGAGAGAGAGGATGTGTAACATAGGGACATGAGGCTCTGTAACAGTGGGAGAGAGGATGTGTAACATAGGGACATGAGTCTCTGTAACAGTGGGAGAGAGGATGTGTAACATAGGGACATGAGGCTCTGTAACAGTGGGAGAGAGGATGTGTAACATAGGGACATGAGTCTCTGTAACACTGGGAGAGAGGATGTGTAACATAGGGACATGATGCTCTGTAATACTGGGAGAGAGGATGTGTAACATAGGGACATGAGTCTCTGTAACAGTGGGAGAGAGGATGTGTAACATAGGGACATGAGTCTCTGTAACAGTGGGAGAGAGGATGTGTAACATAGGGACATGAGTCTCTGTAACACTGGGAGAGAGGATGTGTAACATAGGGACATGATGCTCTGTATTACTGGGAGAGAGGATGTGTAACATAGGGACATGAGTCTCTGTAACACTGGGAGAGAGGATGTGTAACATAGGGACATGAATCTCTGTAACACTGGGAGAGAGGATGTGTAACATAGGGACATGAGTCTCTGTAACACTGGGAGAGAGGATGTGTAACATAGGGACATGAATCTCTGTAATACTGGGAGAGAGGATGTGTAACATAGGGACATGAGTCTCTGTAACAGTGGGAGAGAGGATGTGTAACATAGGGACATGAGTCTCTGTAACACTGGGAGAGAGGATGTGTAACATAGGGACATGAATCTCTGTAATACTGGGAGAGAGGATGTGTAACATAGGGACATGAATCTCTGTAATACTGGGAGAGAGGATGTGTAACATAGGGACATGAGTCTCTGTAACGCTGGGAGAGAGGATGTGTAACATAGGGACATGAGTCTCTGTAATACTGGGAGAGAGGATGTGTAACATAGGGACATGAATCTCTGTAATACTGGGAGAGAGGATGTGTAACATAGGGACATGAGTCTCTGTAACACTGGGAGAGAGGATGTGTAACATAGGGACATGAATCTCTGTAATACTGGGAGAGAGGATGTGTAACATAGGGACATGAATCTCTGTAATACTGGGAGAGAGGATGTGTAACATAGGGACATGAGTCTCTGTAACACTGGGAGAGAGGATGTGTAACATAGGGACATGAGTCTCTGTAATACTGGGAGAGAGGATGTGTAACATAGGGACATGAATCTCTGTAATACTGGGAGAGAGGATGTGTAACATAGGGACATGAGTCTCTGTAACACTGGGAGAGAGGATGTGTAACATAGGGACATGAGTCTCTGTAACAGTGGGAGAGAGGATGTGTAACATAGGGACATGAGTCTCTGTAACACTTGGAGAGGGGATGTGTAACATAGGAACATGAGGCTCTGTAACACTTGGAGAGGGGATGTGTAACATAGGGACATGAGGCTCTGTAACACTTGGAGAGGGGATGTGTAACATAGGGACATGAGGCTCTGTAACACTTGGAGAGGGGATGTGTAACATAGGAACATGAGGCTCTGTAACAGTGGGAGAGAGGATGTGTAACAGTGGGAGAGAGGCTGTGTAATATATGGACATGAGGCTCTGTAACAGTGGGAGAGAGGCTGTGTAACATATGGACAGGAGGCTCTGAAACAGTGGGAGAGAGGCTCTGAAACAGTGGGAGAGAGGCTGTGTGACATATGGACAGGAGGCTCTGTAACAGTGAGGGAGAGACTGTGTAATATAGGGACATGAGGCTCTGTAACAGTGGGAGAGAGGCTGTGTAACATAGGGACATGAGGCTCTGTAACAGTGGGAGAGAGGCTGTGTAACATATGGACATGAGGCTCTGTAACAGTGGGAGAGAGGCTGTGTAACATAGAGACAGGAGGCTCTGTAACAGTGGGAGAGAGGCTGTGTAACATAGAGACATGAGGCTCTGTAACAGTGGGAGAGAGGCTCTGTAACATAGGGACATGAGGCTCAGTAACATAGGGACATGAGGCTCAGTAACATAGGGACATGAGGCTCAGTAACATAGGGACATGAGGCTTTGTAACATTGGGAAAGAGGCTGTGTAACATTGGGAGAGAGGATGTGTAACATTGGGAGAGAGGCTGTGAAACATAGGGATTTGAGGCTCTGTAACACTAAGAGAGAAGATTGTACCATATGGACATGAGGCTCTGTAACATAGGGACATGATGCTCAGTAACATAGGGACATGAGGCTTTGTAACATTGGGAGAGAGGCTGTGTAACATTGGGAGAGAGGCTGTGAAACATAGGGACATGAGGCTCTGTAACACTGGGAGAGAAGATTGTACCATATGGACATGAGGCTCTGTAACATTGGGACATGATGCTCAGTAACATTGGGAGAGAGGCTCTGTAACATTGGGGGAGAGGATGTGTAACATTGGGAGAGAGACTGTGTAACATTGGGAGAGAGGCTGTGTAACATAGGGAGAGAGGCTGTGTAACATTGGGAGAGAGGCTGTGTAACATAGGGACATGAGGCTCTATAACATTGGGAGAGAGGCTGTGTAACATAGGGACATGAGGCTCTGTAACACTGGGAGAGAGGATGTGTAACATAGGGACATGAAGCTCTGTAACACTGGGAGAGAGAATGTGTAACATAGGGACATGAGTCTCTGTAACAGTGGGAGAGAGGATGTGTAACATAGGGACATGAGGCTCTGTAACAGTGGGAGAGAGGATGTGTAACATAGGGACATGAGGCTTTGTAACAGTGGGATAGAGGATGTGTAACATAGGGACATGATGCTCTGTAACAGTGGGAGAGAGGATGTGTAACATACGGACATGAGTCTCTGTAACACTGGGAGAGAGGATGTGTAACATAGGGACATGAGGCTCTGTAACAGTGGGAGAGAGGATGTGTAACATAGGGACATGGGGCTTTGTAACACTGGGAGAGAGGATGTGTAACATAGGGACATGATGCTTTGTAACAGTGGGAGAGAGGATGTGTAACATAGGGACATGATGCTCTGTAACACTGGGAGAGGGGATGTGTAACATAGGGACATGAGACTCTGTAACACTTGGAGAGGGGATGTGTAACATAGGAACATGAGGCTCTGTAACAGTGGGAGAGAGGATGTGTAACAGTAGGAGAGAGGCTGTGTAACATATGGACATGAGGCTCTGTAACAGTGGGAGAGAGGATGTGTAACATAGAGACAGGAGGCTCTGTAACAGTGGGAGAGAGGCTGTGTGACATATGGACAGGAGGCTCTGTAACAGTGGGAGAGAGGCTGTGTAACATAGGGACATGAGGCTCTGTAACAGTGGGAGAGAGGATGTGTAACATAGGGACATGATGCTCTGTAACACTGGGAGAGAGGATGTGTAACATAGGGACATGAGACTCTGTAACACTTGGAGAGGGGATGTGTAACATAGGAACATGAGGCTCTGTAACAGTGGGAGAGAGGATGTGTTACAGTAGGAGAGAGGCTGTGTAACATATGGACATGAGGCTCTGTAACAGTGGGAGAGAGGCTGTGTAACATATGGACATGAGGCTCTGTAACAGTGGGAGAGAGGCTCTGAAACAGTGGGAGAGGCTGTGTGCCATATGGACAGGAGGCTCTGTAACAGTGGGAGAGAGACTGTGTAACATAGGGACATGAGGCTCTGTAACAGTGGGAGAGAGGATGTGTAACATAGGGACATGAGGCTCTGTAACAGTGGGAGAGAGGCTGTGTAACATAGGGACATGAGGCTCTGTAACAGTGGGAGAGAGGATGTGTAACATAGGGACATGAGGCTCTGTAACATTGGAAGAGAGGATCGTAACATAAGGACATGAGGCTCTGTAACATTGGGAGAGAGGATGTGTAACATAGGGACATGAGGCTTTGTAACAGTGGGATAGAGGCTGTGTAACATAGGGACATGAGGCTGTGTAACATAGGGACATGAGGCTTTGTAACAGTGGGAGAGAGGCTGTGTAACAGTGGGAGAGAGGCTGTGTAACAGTGGGAGAGAGGCTGTGTAACAGTGGGAGAGAGGATGTGTAACATAGGGACATGAGGCTCTGTAACATTGGGAGAGAGGATGTGTAACATAGGGACATGAGTCTCTGTAACACTGAGAGAGAGGATGTGTAACATAGGGACATGAGGCTCTGTAACAGTGGGAGAGAGGATGTGTAACATAGGGACATGAGTCTCTGTAACAGTGGGAGAGAGGATGTGTAACATAGGGACATGAGGCTCTGTAACAGTGGGAGAGAGGATGTGTAACATAGGGACATGAGTCTCTGTAACACTGGGAGAGAGGATGTGTAACATAGGGACATGATGCTCTGTAATACTGGGAGAGAGGATGTGTAACATAGGGACATGAGTCTCTGTAACAGTGGGAGAGAGGATGTGTAACATAGGGACATGAGTCTCTGTAACAGTGGGAGAGAGGATGTGTAACATAGGGACATGAGTCTCTGTAACACTGGGAGAGAGGATGTGTAACATAGGGACATGATGCTCTGTATTACTGGGAGAGAGGATGTGTAACATAGGGACATGAGTCTCTGTAACACTGGGAGAGAGGATGTGTAACATAGGGACATGAATCTCTGTAACACTGGGAGAGAGGATGTGTAACATAGGGACATGAGTCTCTGTAACACTGGGAGAGAGGATGTGTAACATAGGGACATGAATCTCTGTAATACTGGGAGAGAGGATGTGTAACATAGGGACATGAGTCTCTGTAACAGTGGGAGAGAGGATGTGTAACATAGGGACATGAGTCTCTGTAACACTGGGAGAGAGGATGTGTAACATAGGGACATGAATCTCTGTAATACTGGGAGAGAGGATGTGTAACATAGGGACATGAATCTCTGTAATACTGGGAGAGAGGATGTGTAACATAGGGACATGAGTCTCTGTAACGCTGGGAGAGAGGATGTGTAACATAGGGACATGAGTCTCTGTAATACTGGGAGAGAGGATGTGTAACATAGGGACATGAATCTCTGTAATACTGGGAGAGAGGATGTGTAACATAGGGACATGAGTCTCTGTAACACTGGGAGAGAGGATGTGTAACATAGGGACATGAATCTCTGTAATACTGGGAGAGAGGATGTGTAACATAGGGACATGAATCTCTGTAATACTGGGAGAGAGGATGTGTAACATAGGGACATGAGTCTCTGTAACACTGGGAGAGAGGATGTGTAACATAGGGACATGAGTCTCTGTAATACTGGGAGAGAGGATGTGTAACATAGGGACATGAATCTCTGTAATACTGGGAGAGAGGATGTGTAACATAGGGACATGAGTCTCTGTAACACTGGGAGAGAGGATGTGTAACATAGGGACATGAGTCTCTGTAACAGTGGGAGAGAGGATGTGTAACATAGGGACATGAGTCTCTGTAACACTTGGAGAGGGGATGTGTAACATAGGAACATGAGGCTCTGTAACACTTGGAGAGGGGATGTGTAACATAGGGACATGAGGCTCTGTAACACTTGGAGAGGGGATGTGTAACATAGGGACATGAGGCTCTGTAACACTTGGAGAGGGGATGTGTAACATAGGAACATGAGGCTCTGTAACAGTGGGAGAGAGGATGTGTAACAGTGGGAGAGAGGCTGTGTAATATATGGACATGAGGCTCTGTAACAGTGGGAGAGAGGCTGTGTAACATATGGACAGGAGGCTCTGAAACAGTGGGAGAGAGGCTCTGAAACAGTGGGAGAGAGGCTGTGTGACATATGGACAGGAGGCTCTGTAACAGTGAGGGAGAGACTGTGTAATATAGGGACATGAGGCTCTGTAACAGTGGGAGAGAGGCTGTGTAACATAGGGACATGAGGCTCTGTAACAGTGGGAGAGAGGCTGTGTAACATATGGACATGAGGCTCTGTAACAGTGGGAGAGAGGCTGTGTAACATAGAGACAGGAGGCTCTGTAACAGTGGGAGAGAGGCTGTGTAACATAGAGACATGAGGCTCTGTAACAGTGGGAGAGAGGCTCTGTAACAGTGGGAGAGAGGCTGTGTAACATAGAGACAGGAGGCTCTGTAACAGTGGGAGAGAGGCTCTGTAACAGTGGGAGAGAGGCTGTGTAACATAGAGACAGGAGGCTCTGTAACAGTGGGAGAGAGACTGTGTAACATAGGGACATGAGGCTCTGTAACAGTGGGAGAGAGGCTGTGTAATATAGAGACAGGAGGCTCTGTAACAGTGGGAGAGAGGCTGTGTAACATAGAGACATGAGGCTCTGTAACAGTGGGAGAGAGGCTGTGTAACATATGGACAGGAGGCTCCGTAACATTGGGAGAGAGGCTGTGTAACATATGGACAAGAGTTACCTGTCTAGATCTAAAGATGCACTCTTCAATTTACCAATCTGAAAGAAGAGAAATAAATCAGGTATAGTATCCGAATTCCATGTATTCTGTTGGTGAAACTAAATTTGATCTCTTTATCCATGACTAGCTGATGAGCTTGTACACACCTTCACACACCTTCACCATGTGAACTGTGCACCAGCACCTGCATCATGTCTGCTTTTAATCCACCCAAAGAGGCCAAATAAAGTTGGCTAATTCAAACATAAATTACTTTTTTGTCACATGTAATTTATAGTCCTTTAACAGAGATTTATCTTGGATTCCAAACTCAGTGCCTGTGGCAGGAAAACCGAACAAATAATTGTTTTGTAAAATAATAGGAATGTTTTCAAAGCTATTGTTTTAGTTGATATTTTAACATTGTATTCAATGCAGTAATGTAAAACTTATTATGTCATTTCTTCTTATTAGTCATATGATCATCATTTATTATCAAAATAACATCAACTGGAAAAGTCTTAATTCCTGCAGATTTGGGGTTGAATATTGGGCTGTGGGAATCAACACAGAAAGCTGAATTACCCACCTTCCTACACAGAGCTCCACGTCTACACAGGTCAAATGCTGAGGGCTTGTCAGTTGATTCGATCTGGGCGGTCATCTTATCAATCTCTTCCATCAGAATCTGACAACATTTGACCAGATTAAATACATGGAAGAAGAATGAGTTTGTTTTGTTTTTATTCCAATTTTTTATTCACTTCAGAAGGATGTTACATTTCCACATTTTCTCAAATACACCTTCATGAGGATTATGTGACTGAGATGCAGTCAGACAGAAAGCATTCGACGTAATAAGCGCCCTGCTCTAATAAGCGCCCACGGCGAGATTTGCTGATATAATGGCTAGTGAACAATCCCAATTAGCACCCCTTCCGACCCCTATTCGCATATAACACGCACCGCTTCCTTCCCCTATTCACATAGAATATGCACTCGTGTGTTATATGCACCCTTTATTATTGGCAATTAAATTCTGGAAACATATATCTGTCGTACATAAACATTTCAGGCTGTCAGCATAAACCACGAAATTTATCTTTCAACTCTGTTTTTTTCACCAAAATAATATTCTAATAAGAGCCCCCTATTTCTAATTTTGAGTGTGCCCTAGGCACATATTACGTCAAATACGGTAATATAATGTAGAGAAAAATAGTCATGTTTCTTGACATATGGACAATGTGGTATCCAAATATTTGTTTGTTTTTCCTTAACGCCACACTCAGCAATATTCCAGCTATATGACGACAGTCTGTAAATAATCAAGTCTGGACCAGATAATCCAGTGATTGACATCATGAGCATCAGTCCACACAATTGGGACATGATAACATGCATCAACCATGTCAGCGAGCCTGACCACCCAATCTGTTAGTCGCCTCTTACGACAAGCATAGTCGCTCCTTACAGCAAGCATGGGTTGCTGAAGACCTATTCTACCCCGGATCTTCACGGGTTTGTATCCAAATAAGTTCATCATCACATACATCATCATTTCACAATAAACGTTGACAGTGTTTGTAATGTCACAGAAAGATCAAGACAGATAAAGTTATAATCCACCTGAATAATTTCTACATTCTCCTCAGTGTCGGTGAGCGGCTCCAGGGTGTCGATAGTCTCTGACAGCACGCTAGTGATAGACTCCTTCCTGCACACACACATCATATAGACATATATGTAAACATTGATATTCAGAGGAACAAACCCAAAAATAAAACAAAATATATTTCATCATTGTAAATATAGAAAATCCAGGAGATTCAGATGCATTGAAACTTTGGGACATTCACTGATTGTCATCCGAAATGTCCTGAAGATTCTTTCAAAACTGGCCATGATATGGAATAATGTCCTAATAAAACCTGATAATATCACGACAATCTTCTCCCATGGTAATATGTCTCCAGCAAAATCTTCTAAAATCAGTAGGGGCGGCAAGGTAGCCTAGTGGTTAAAGCGTTCGCTCGTCACACTGAAGACCCAGGTTCCATTCCCCACATGGGTTCAATGCGTGAAGCCCATTTCTGGTGTACCCCGCCGTGATATTGCTATAATATTCCTAAAAGCATAGCAAAACCATACTCACTCACTCACTCACTCACACACTCACACTAAAACCAGTCAGGAAAGCATCATCAAACATATCCTTGATACACAGAGGCTACTGGCCTAACTACAACTAATACTGGTGTGAAGAAGGATTAATATTCTGAAACATCGGTAACATGTTGTTACACACAAAAAGTAAAGCTGCATACCGTATTCAACGTAATAAGCGCACAGGGCACTCTCAAAATTAGAAATGGGGGGCTCTTATTATAATATTATTTTGGTGGAAAAAAAAACAGAGTTGAAAGATTGTAAATTTTGTGGTTTATGCTGACAGCCCGAAATGATACAAAAGAAAAGTCTGTGCATATTATACACGACAGATATATTTTCCAGAATTTAATTGCCCACAATTAAGGGTGCATATAACACACGAGTGCGTATACTGTAATTCACTAGGCAATATATTAGCAAATATCGAGGTGGGCGCTAATTAGAGAGGGGCGCTTATTACGTCGAATACGGTACCCACCAAACAAGTTTCCCTGGCCAAAGCGTTTACATCATGATGACATACGGTGAAGCACACCAGCAAAATATTCAGACACCAGTGTTTCAATATTATTTATCAGTGGACAAAACTTTTGTTACGTAATGTCTTCAAAAATTATTAGAGAACAAAATAATGTAAAACATTAACTGGTTGCACATTTAGGGCATTATCTAATTTTATCAAACTTATAATACCCGGGACAAATTCACTTTCATTGCCTTTCTTAAAGGCCTTTTCAAGGTATAACTGTCCAATTCAAGGCACATCAAATGATGAAGCCTGTGTGAACGTTGATGCAAGTAGTGTGTTGGCAGACATTGTGAGTACCTTTTCTTGGCCCGTTCCTCCCTGGATACAGATGTGCTCTCCGCGTGAGTGTGTGCGACGGACTGGAAGTCAAAAAAGTTGTCGTCTTCCATGTCAGACCCTGTCGGTGTTGGCGGAAAAACCTGGTCGAACCACACATTCCAGATGCCCCGTGCCCACTCTCTCTCATCTTCACTAGACCTGGAGAAACAGTATAGTTACATAAATCTTGGTCAAACCACACATTACAGATGCCCCGTGCCCACTCTCTCTCATCTTCACTAGACCTGGAGAAACAGTATAGTTACATAAATCTTGGTCAAACCACACATTACAGATGCCCCGTGCCCACTCTCTCTCGTCTTCACTAGACCTGGGGAAACAGTATAGTTACATAAATCTTGGTCAAACCACACATTCCAGATGCCCCGTGCCCACTCTCTCTCATCTTCACTAGACCTGGAGAAACAGTATAGTTACATAAATCTTGGTCAAACCACACATTACAGATGCCCCGTGCCCACTCTCTCTCGTCTTCACTAGACCTGGAGAAACAGTATAGTTACATAAATCTTGGTCAAACCACACATTACAGATGCCCCGTGCCCACTCTCTCTCGTCTTCACTAGACCTGGGGAAACAGCATAGTTACATCAACCACATCAGTGGTTTAATCCATTTTCATCAGTATGAAATGGAAGTCCAAAGTTGCACAAGTATAAGATGATTACCACCTTGGCGTAACCATGAGTATTGGTATGGCGCTGACAAACCCAGAATCATAATCAAGGTGAATAAGAGATTTGAGTCCATTTGACCCATGATCCTCAGATTCTGACCCACCCCTGAAACCAACTCTACAGAGAACTGTGGCACCTGAGGTGACTGGTACACCTCTGCCACCAATTTTAAACACTTTAATCATTACATTTCATTTGATCTAACTTAAACAATTAATCCATGAATACTACATAAACACATAGAGAACATTGTTGTTTTACAGTATTTCAGCATAGTAATCTGCAGCAATAAACATTATATCTCGATAGCAGTGTATGACTTACCCATATCTCCTCTGAGTCTTGTATTCCTCAAAGTCCAGAATATTTGGAAGACTGGAGCGATGAGACCTCACATGCCTGGAAATAACAAAGAGTTACATCATACTTAACAAAAGATACAAACAGAGCCCTTGACATCAAGCATTAATGTCACGAAACATCTCTAGCATAACACACTACTCTAGTTGACCACATTACTCGCAAGTGTAAGAAAGAAACAAGGCTAGTAAGGCTAGATGTCAGTTATTAGTCCTGCGCCACATATATTCTTTTTTGACTAAAAGCCTTGGCAAGACTAGATCAAACTACCCAAGATAAAGTTCCTTGATTCCAACAGCAGAAGAGGAAAGGTTCTTTTGGAAAAAAAGAAAAGTACCATTATTTTAAAGAAATGTTTCCATCAACTAAAATGTTAGTCTAGTCCAATATTTCAAAGTTTTCCGCAATTTAAAATTTTTACATTTCCAGTGGGTCTAAAACGACCGTTATCCTACCTTGTCTTTTAATTGTTGTTTACACATCCACACATTGCTTTCCAGCCATTTAAAAAAAGGGGATATAAAATGTACATTTCCATTGACATTTCATTTATTTTTCTTTCCCGCATGCTTCAACAAAGACTGTTCATGACACAAGGACAGACATTTTTACCCCAAAAGAAACTTAACAGCATGAAAACAGATGTGTATTCTACACACAAAGGAGAAATACATTTTGTCATTGATATATATATTGTATATAACTTTTTTCCCCTCTTGTCTTCAGGTATTTTTTGGCTGACATTTGATCTTAGAAACGAAGCCACTACCTTGGCACCCTGAGATCCCACTCGATGACTCTGTTGACTCTGTTGACTCGAGGCAGTGAGCCGCACCTGGACATGGATCTGGACGGGGAAGCCAGGAATCTCTGGATGGACTCAATCCTGGCCATGTCCACAGGGCCCTTGTGCTTGAGCTTCTTTCTGTGGTACAGACTCATGTTTATAGGTGACTCCATGAATACCTCTACATTACAGAATAGTTGGAGTTTTATTCTGTATGAATTAATGCAGCAACAAGTTGATGGTTATACTGCCCTTCTGGATGGCCAGTTTCAGGGAATGAATCATAACTTGCTTTGCTTTGAAAATGTTAGAAACAGGAAACCATTGCAAGAGTCATTTCTTACAGAGTGCTTGAGTAGAATGTTACATAGTTTATTCACGACTTTCACACTGATGGCACCTATGTCACAGCTGTACAGTAATCTGGCCTGGACCCGACAACCAGTGGTCAAAAGAGTGAGCACTCATCCACATCATCAAATGCTACCTTACCCACTATTGCACTATGAATTCTAACAGACTTCCAGTTTTAGTGAACTAAATTCAAGTCCTTTTTATGCTCCCTCCCCAAAATTCAACATGAAAAGGTGGTACACTTTCCATTTGTCACAGACTCTGGAATAATCATCTCTTCTTAGATACAATTAACCATTGGAAGGGAGATAACTCTATGGCTACTGACCATAAGTAGATTGTTTACAAATTGTTTTCATCGAATTGTATGTTAGATTTCAAAAGGAAATCAGATAACATAATTTTAAGTAATTTATTTGCGCAGGGGGTTAGGAAAATCAAGGCATTTTAATGAAGAATATAAATTAAAGGACAGACATAGAAATTCAAAGCCTCATGAAGCATGTTTAAACTTAGATATATTCACACGATGACCTTCATGTATGACCTACTTTTTAGGCAGAATGACATAGTTCCTCCCAGCCAGCAGGGCGAGTTCAGCAGGGGTCAACTTTTCCTCTGAAAGAAATTGTTAGTCAACATTAGCCTGTGCTCATCATCCAAAACAGACCTACAAGACTAGATAAACGGTTGAATGAGTGAAGATGATTCAATACAGTAAAATTCCATCTTCTTGACTATCATTTCAACAAATTATTCTGTACTCCAAGTTAATCCCCAGTTTCATTGAACCAAATGCTAAAGCTGATAGCATTAAACTATTAGAACAAATATACATTAACCAGCCATTCATGTTAGGGGCACAGGTGGCGCAGTCATTTAAGGACCACATTTCACTGTGCAGAGTTGAATACCTTGGTCAAGCCAGAAACCTTTGATTGTGGGTTTGAATCCGGGTTCACCCCGATTATGTTTCCAGGTTTGTCAGCACCATACCCATGCTTGTAGTTCCACCAAAGGTGTAAACGACTCAGACATGCATCACTTGGGGCTTTCTTTCCAGATCAAACTGGCCAATGTGATATAACTGGAATACTAACACAGCATTAAACCCAACTCACTCACTCACTCATGCAAGTTAAACATAACTGGATAATACTACCAAGTCTCTTGTCAGCAAAGTTAAGTTAAGCATACAGTGGCACCCTAGTATAATGCCTGGACTACTGTGCCAGGGTTGCTGCTGCTGCTGCTGCTGCTGCTGCTGCCTACCTTTAGGAGTCTGTGGTAACTTGAGGATGTCTGCCTCGGTCTGCTCTTCCTCCACAACCTGGCAACAATGAGGAGACAGACATACAGACAGCTGACCAACCTTTCATTGGAATAAGTCGTATTTGTTTGTCTCATGTTTATACTCAGCAATAGCACAGCTATATAACATCAACCTGTAAATAATCAAGTCTGGACCAGACAAACCAGTGATTGATGTCCCGTGTTGTTGGTATAGGACACGCAATCAACCAAGTCAGTGTGCTTGACCAATTAATCCACATATTTGCCTCTTACAACAAGCATTAGTTGCTGAGGAGCTATTCTAACCTGGAATTCCCATGGGATGGAATTTGTTGTAAGATTGGTAGTTAGGTATGTAACTGATTCAAGTTTTATAAATCTATACCAGTCGTACGTTTACCTTGTATTTCCTCTAACTTAACTGTTTACATTACTTTGTCCAGGAATGTGACATACTGTGAATGTGTCTGAAGCCGTCCTGTCAGTCTGTCACTGACTGTAGCCATGGATGAGTACTGCGTCAGAGAATGAATGTGTCTATAAGTGTGACTGTTTCTGTGTCTTTCCATGTCATCATGCCAAGGCAAGGGCAATAACTGACTATAAAAGTCCAGTTTCCACCTTTGCCAAACTAGGCTGGAATTCCGGCTGGACTAACAAGTCTATGCATAGTACAATCAAAATCATGTAACAAACAAGACAACTGTACATTTGTAAACATATTACATGCAGATTTCAGTCGACTGCAGGATTTGCAAAGCATGTGTACTGCCAACTGGGCGTCACAATTTCTTTTTTCAATCTTTTCATGTTTTAATCAAGGTGCTCAAGTGATTTGACACACTTTGCGAGGTAAGATCTATTTTATTACAATAAAGATCTTGATTATCGATCAGATCGTCTTCACTGGGAGCCACCATTTTGTTTGAAGCAATTGCAAGTGATATGAGAGGTGGATTCTGATTGGTCAATAGGAGGGATATAGAAGGTACATAACTCGTAATAGCCACTGGCGGCGCAACGATCGAGACCAGAAATTCCAGCCTAGTTCGGCAAGTGTGGAAACTTGGTCAGATAACTCCCTTGCCTCGGGAAGATGATCAACATATACTGAGTTGCATTCTGTGATTGTGTACTGTGTCTGACTGTGTCTGTGCTGCTGTCCTAGCCAGTGCGTCTGCAGTATCTGTGTCCGACTATGTCTATGGCTGTGTCCTTGCCAGTATGTCTTTGTATGTGACTGCCTGTGTCTGACTGTGTGTCTGGGTATATGTGTCTGACTGCCTGTGTGTCTGGGTATATGTGTCTGACTGTGTGTCTGACTGCCTGTGTGTCAGATTGTGTATCTGACTGCCTATGTGTCTGGGTATATGTGTCTGACTGCCTGTGTGTTTGCATATATGTGTGAGACTGTGTCTGACTGCTTGTGTGTCAGACTGGATGTCTGGGTGTCTATGGCTGTGTCCTTGCCTGTATGTCTTTGTATGTGTCTGTTTCTGACTGTGTGTCTGGGTGTCTGACTGTGTCTGACTGTGTCTGTGTTACCTCCTCCTCCTGCACCTCCATCTCCTTACAGGGAGACATAGGGAGACATGTCCTGTTGTTGTCTGGGTATATGTGTCTGACGGTGTCTGGGTGTCTGACTGTGTGTCTGGGTGTCTGACTGTGTCTGACTGTGTCTGTGTTACCTCCTCCTCCTGCACCTCCATCTCCTTACAGGGAGACATAGGGAGACATGTCCTGTTGTTGTCTGGGTATATGTGTCTGACGGTGTCTGGGTGTCTGACTGTGTCTGTGTTACCTCCTCCTCCTGCACCTCCACCTCCTTACAGGGAGACATGTCCTGTTGTTGTCTGGGTATATGTGTCTGACTGTGTCTGGGTGTCTGACAGTGTCTGGGTGTCTGACTGTGTCTGGGTGTCTGACTGTGTCTGTGTTACCTCCTCCTCCTGCACCTCCACCTCCTTACAGTGAGACATGTCTTGTTGTTGTCTGGGTATATGTGTCTGAATGTGTCTGAATGTGTCTGACGGTGTCTGGGTGTCTGACTGTGTCTGTGTTACCTCCTCCTCCTGCACCTCCACCTCCTTACAGGGAGACATGTCCTGTTGTTGTCTGGGTATATGTGTCTGACTGTGTCTGGGTGTCTGACAGTGTCTGGGTGTCTGACTGTGTCTGGGTGTCTGACTGTGTCTGTGTTACCTCCTCCTCCTGCACCTCCACCTCCTTACAGTGAGACATGTCTTGTTGTTGTCTGGGTATATGTGTCTGAATGTGTCTGAATGTGTCTGACTGTGTCTGGGTGTCTGACTGTGTCTGTGTTACCTCCTCCTCCTGCACCTCCACCTCCTTACAGGGAGACATGTCCTGTTGTTGTCTGGGTATATGTGTCTGACTGTGTTAGACTGTGTCTGTGTGTCTGACTGTGTCTGGGTGTCTGTGTATCTGACTGTGTCCGTGTGTCTGACTGTGTCTGTGTGTCTGACTGTGTCTGACTGTGTCTGTGTTACCTCCTCCTCCTGCACCTCCACCTCCTTACAGGGAGACATGTCCTGTTGTTGTCGATTGAGCTTCAGCTGACGGATCTGGGACTTCTGCTCCGAGATCTGACACACAGAACAACCGGGTATGAAACACATTCCCAACAACATTCCTGTTGCCATGAACAGTCAACAATGGATATAGCCAACTTCAACTTTTAGATCAGTCCGAAGTTTGCTAACATAATTCATGAAATGTAATCAACTATGATTCTATTATGTCATTGTCTCACCTCCTTCCCTCCATACACCTCCAAATCAATGAAGTTACGAGTCAATGTTGTAATGCAAGGCCCCACAAAGCAGTCTTAGCACTAAGATGACCGTAACTAACATAATATAACAAAGGCTTACAATAGTCATGATGCTAAGATTGCTTTGTGGAACAGGGAGGGCCCTGGGTTGACAATATCAGGGTTATCTGACAAAATTTACAAAAGTAAAATTGCAGCAAAATAAAAAGGTTAGTTCAACTGACCAACCAAATCAAGTTTGTGGGTGAAAAATAAAACATATTTTTGTTTACTACATCAAATAATTATAAATATTGACAAGAGATTCAGCAATAATGCAGAAGCCGTTACCTTACATGATTAGAAATTCACTTCCCAATAGTAGACTCAAGTGTATGATGCCAGTCGGTAAATAATAGAGTCTTGGCTAGGCAAACCTGTGGTTTTGACATGTACAATATGACAACAAGTACAATATGTACAATATGACAACATGTACAATATGACAACATGTACAATATGTACAATATGTACAATATGACAACATGTACAATATGACAACATGTAAAATATGTACAATATGACAACATGTACAATATGACAACATGTACAATTTGACAACATGTACAATATGACAACATGTACAATATGACAACATGTACAATATGACAACATGTACAACATGTACAACATGTACAACATGCACAATATGACAACATGTACAATATGTACAATATGACAACATGTACAATATGACAACATGTACAATATGTACAATATGACAACATGTACAATATGACAACATGTACAATATGACAACATGTACAATATGACAACATGTACAATATGACAACATGTACAATATGACAATATGTACAATATGACAACATGTATAATATGACGTACAATATGACAAAATGTACAACATGTACAATATGACAACATGTAAAATATGTACAATATGACAACATGTACAATATGACAACATGTACAACATGTACAATATGACAACATGTTCAATATGACAACATGTTCAATATGACAACATGTTCAATATGACAACATGTACAATATGACAACATGTAAAATATGTACAATATGACAACATGTACACTATGACAACATGTACACTATGACAACATGTAAAATATGACAACATGTACAATATGTACAATATGTACAATGACAACATGTTAAATATGACAACATGTACAATATGACAACATGTAAAATATGTACAATATGACAATATGTACAATATGACATGTACAATATGTACAACATGATAACATGTACAATATGCTAAAGAACGACAAGGCTAAAAAATGTAAACCAAGAAATAAAAAGAGTCTGGCCTTATGATAAGCGTGGATGACTAGTCTCCGATATTGTCATGATGCCAGATTGGCATCTCGGCACCCGAATAAAAAAATTTCCAAGATCCAATCCTAAATCTCCTGTCCTGACTTGTGTCCTGCCACTCACCTCCATCATAGCTGTGTTAAAGTCCTGCGGCACCAGCACTGTGTCATCCTCATCCACCATCATCCGCGGCTGTGACCGTGACCTTCTGAGTGGCATCACCAGGGGAAGTATGTCATCAATTGCCGGCTGCTGACCACGCTCAGAGTGAGGAGTTGCTGGGGTCGCAGTATCATCCTCTCCAGCTGCTGTGTCAGCTTTGTCTGTAACATGTAGTAACTTAATTTGGGAACAAGGACATCATTTCTTGGTCAATCCCACCATCGTGGTATCTTCTGTAACCAGGGATATTTGGGAAGTTTATACTAGGGCTGGGACGGGTAATTTGGGTACTCAGGTCTGGTGGGTACTGAGTAGGACCTGTATACCCACAGGACTACCTGGACCCGTGGTTCATCACGCGATATATCGTTTAATGACAAAAATTATCAAGAAATCCATGGTTACACTACTTGTCACTAATGTTTGCATTTCTTTCTGACTTATATGTTTGAGGTGAGGTGAGGTGAAATTGGGTTTAACGGCGCGTCCAAGATTATTGCACTTATATAGCGACGTGCATGTATGAGTATGTGTTTGTGTGGCTGCTTGTTCTAGTCCGGACTAATGCCGATTTATAGTGCTAGCTCACTGAGATACCATGCCGCAGTTTAACATGAATACCCCACTCAGACACAGTATACTGACTCCGAGCCGACCAGTCCTTGTTTTAGCCCCTTAATGCCGAGCGCCAGACAGGGTAACAACAAGTACCATCTTTTAACGTCTTTTGGTATGACGCGGCCGGGGATCGAGCCCCGGACCTTCCGCTCTCCGGGCGGACGCTCTACCACAGGACCACGGAGGCGGTCTTTATATGTTTGAATAAAGATGAATGTTTATATATATGTAAGTATACATAGTCATTACTTGGGAAAGCAAGGCACATTTCGGCAATAGACTCTTGACTCTTCAGTGTGGGTGGGTCAGGACTGAAGCCCTTGAACTCTCTGGAAACAAACCTGCCGGTCACCCATCCACCTACTCTCCGTTTAACTTTGCCTGATTTGCAGCCTGTGTATTGTACACACGGGATCACTCCGTGTTACTTAAGGATGATGTAGCCCTTATTAAGTTCAAGTATTTGAGACTTTCCTCAGATGTGTTTCTGTAGTCTGAATAGTCCATTCATATATCACAACTAGGTTGTTGATTACAACATGAAGTTCCAAATATTTTTGATTCTTTCTTATTCTTGTGTCTCAACTCTCATGTACAAACATTTGATTAACTGTAACAAATAGAAAGGATTTCATTGAGTATATGGCTTTTGAATTTCCTAAATTTACACATTAACTTCATAATACAGCAGTAATACTAGGTTGGGCTTGTTTACTTTACAAAAGCATGAACATTTAACAATAAGGTGTACAACACAAACCTGGACATTGCACTAAGTACATAATAGTCCAATAAAATGTACAGAAACAATGCCTTAACTGCACTAAATAAACAGAAAGCTTAATATTTCATATACCTTTCATAACTTTAGGCCATGAGAATATTTATGAACAAAGTTGAAAGTCTAGGGTGTATTTCCATGAGCCAAGTCTAAACCAGCCACAAACTCTCAATTATGAAGAATTAAGATACTGTGTATGGTAGAAATTAAGAAGATGCATTTATAAACAAATTCCTATTTATGAATTTTCAATTGAGTGACTAAATGTGCCTTACCATTACTTTAGACTTCACTGGCTCCTAGCATGACTTCATCATGCATGCTGCTTAAAGCACATGGTGATATGATCACACCAATCTGTGCTTATCTCCCTTCTTATTAAGGTTGATGTAAAATTGGCACATCATCAAAAAATGAAACATAACATTCAAACCCAGGAAATTAAATAAACATCCTAACCATAACAATTATTTAATATTGTATATTGCTGTTGTTATATATAATACATAATTTGTGGAAATTCTAAAAACCAGATTTGATACCTCCTTAACCAA